GAAGAATGCAGTGGGCAAAAAAATACATGAAAACTGATTTCAATAAAGTGCTTTTTACAGACGAATGAAAGATCACCCTCGATGGGCCCGATGGATGGGCTTTGGCTTTGCAAGCAACATGACTCAAAAAATGTTTTAAACGCCAACAAGATGGCGGTGGGATCTTGATATGGGCTGGGATTATTGGTAATGAGCTCGTGGGTCCATTTAAACTGAAAGACAGAGTTAAAATGAATTCCAAAAGTTACTGCGATTTTCTAGAGCAATATTTCTTTGAATGGCTTGAGTTTTTAGCCAAGCGTAAGATCTATGATCTTTATGCAAGACAACGCACCAAGTCATGCATCAAAGTTTACTAAATCCTGGTTGAAAGAAAAGAGATTTGTTGAAGATTCTCTTATGGAATGGCCTTCAAATAGCTGTGACTTGAATCCCATTGAGAACCTGTGGAGCATCCTCAAGAGAGATATTTATTCTAATGGAAGGCAATTCAACAGCAAGTGTGACCTCTGGGAGGCAGTTAAAGTTGCTGCAAACAACTTACCAGCCACTAAAATTGCAAATCTAACATCAGATGTTGACAATAGGCTGCTAAGTGTTATTGAAAAGAAAGGAGCATTTGTGCAATAAATTTTAGGAGGTTATTGTTTTTTGTTAATATATCTTTTATTTTTAAAATAAAATGTTTTTTTTATGTTTTTCCTTTAAGAAATTGACGAATTTGTTCTAAAATCTTTTCATATTATTTTTTTACATTAGTTTTGCAAGGTATAATAATGTAAAAGTATCAAAATAAATAGTTGCAAATAAACTACTGACAGTCAAATTAGTTTGTTCTGTTAACTTAGTAAATTTTTTCCAACCAAAAACAATAGTTTTCTCTATCACTAAGTTAATAATATTGAGTAGAATCTAAACAACATCATAATAGGATTTTTAACATTAAAGACGCAACTCACATACCAATTCATAACTTGCATATAATCTCTAGACGCAGTTTAGATAGATAGATGCATACATACATATGAAAAAGATTGACAGATGGATAGATAGAAAGATCATGCGATAAATATGAATAGACATAGTTAGCTAGCTAGCTAGATAGAAAAGTGCGATATATATATATATATATATATATATATATATATATATATATATATATATAATAAAAAGGCTTAAACACTAATATTCCATACGATCCAATTCATCAGACCTACAAATTCAAAAAGAAAACAGAAAAAAACAACTCCGGAAATAAAAACAGAATTTAGAGACAGTGTAAGTATGCGAGTGTGGGACGAATTAACATGAGCTAAAGAGGATTGAATCCAGGTAGAACTCAATGTCCAGGACAGAGTAAGGATATAATAAAAAGGCTTAGACACTAATATTCCATGGACATAATTTATTCCATTGGAATCGTAAATACGATCCAAATCATCAGACCTACAAATTCAAAAACGAAAACAGAAAAAACAACTCCGGAAAAAAAAACAGAATTTAGAGAGAGTGTAAGTATGAGGGTGTGGGGCGAATGTTAGAGCTAAAGAGAGGGGTAACAGACTAGAGAAGGAGGGAGATTAAAATTTAACAGAGAGAATTTTAGGAGAGGTGAGTGGAAGGGGTTTAAGTAAGAGAAATATGAATGTTGTCGGATGTCTAATGCATAAAGATACATTTCGTGGTGACATACACACACCATAGACGATCTAATGTTGAAGATCAGAATAAGAGGGAGGGAAAGGAAAGAAGAGGTGGGGGAGAGAGATGGGGCGTGGGAAAGTAAAATTGAAGGACATTTACTGAAAGGGCCGCTGTGTAATTAAGAAAATTTGACAAATTTAATATCGACTACAGGTTACAAATGAAATATAAACATAAAAAATAAATATAACGATTATGTAATCTAGCACGGACCTATATTTTATGTTATGTTCAAAAACACATGCGAATACACACATACACAATAACATATACACGTATATACATACACATAGGCGTGTATATATTTGTATGTGTATAGGTTTTTGAACATAAAATATAGGTATATATATATATATATATATATATATATATATATATATTCACATACATACACATTTATATATATATATATATATATATATATATTCATTACATACACACACATATATATATATATATATATATATATATATATATATATTCACAGGAGACATGCTGTTTATATACGCTCTATCTCATATATTTCGAATTTGACGCTCTTTGTTTTCATTGGTCAGTTACGTATCACGTGTTTATATATTTTGGTGTTATGTGTGTGTTTCTCATTTCTCCTATGATCACAGAAGTTAAGTAACGTCGAGCCTGGTCCTTACCTAGATGAGTGACCGCTTGGAGATGCGGATGGTGCAATGGGTCAGGGCTCGGAATTCGAGTTCTAATTCCAGTTTGATTCGTTATATTCACTTCCTCCCAAATACCGTTCGAAAAACTATGAAGTCGCCTCTTTCCCCCGTAGCCATGGGTTAATTATTAAGGCTTGTATCCTTAAACCATTCTTCTCTCCAAATATTTCTACCCGTCTTTATTACGTCTTTTATATGTAAAATTTTCCCAACTCTCGTTCTTCATTATGTATCCCAGATTTTTCAACTGTCTCGTTCCGATTGTAAGTATACGTTCATTTTGTTTTCATTTTTTCTGAACGTCGTCGTTATTCATACGCTCTGTTCATGGCATTCTCAGAATCCTTCGGTAGATTCATATCAAGTCCCCTCTTAGTACTAGTTGTTAAAGTAATATTGAAAAGTATATTTTTATTATTCTATTGCATGCCGTGTCTCTTCCTGTCTTTTTTTACTTTACGTAAGGCTTGGCTTTTCGATATCTCCCCTAATCTCTGTCCTGCCAACTGTTTACACAAACTGGTTATATGGGTTATTTTCTGCTTTCCACTATCCCTCTGCCCTTGAATATGTCCTGTGTGTGTCAAATGCTTCAAGCCCTCATTCCTCATTATGTTACTGAGAATTTCCAGCTCTCCATTTCTGATTCTAAATGACCTTTTCGTGCCAATTTTAGTTAGTTAGGTAGATATCGTGTCTTTATATATTGTGGTGTTTTTCTGTGATTGTGCGCGCGTGTGTGTGGGTGACACACTACAATTCCGGCAGCTTATGGCCACACCACGGAATATGTGAGAAACGTCAATTATCCAGCCCATGTTATTCTCAGCGCTCTTCTGTAGAACCACATTTCCGTTGCCTCAAGTTGCTTTTTTGTCCCTGAGAAATATTCCCAGCGATATAAAAGGGCTGATATTACATAGCAGATCATCACTATTTTTTTCTGTATTTTTTCTCACGAAATTTTCCTAGTGTCAAATCCTTTCTGTCGTCAATAAGAGGGGATAGGTTTCCCTATCGCCCGGTTCATACTCCTCCCTAGTCTTTTGAACATGAGTATAGGTCTATCACTTGTTTCCTGTTCAAGATTGGGTTTTCGGTTCCCTCTGATTTTTTTTATTCTCTTTTACTATCACTATCCCATTGCATCTTAGTGGCAGTATCACCTTGCTTGGGTTGAAATGATTAAAAGAAAATATAAGGTGAATCAAGAGTTAGTTTCTACCTCTGGTTCAATTAATGATCCCCACCCCATTTTAGGGTACCGTAGATATTAATTTGTTTATTGATAATTGAATAATGGCATGATTCTTCTTTGGAATTATGTTTCGAGTTGACAAAGTATTTCACCAACGCTGTTTTTCAATAAAGGATCCACAGTTCAGGCGATGAAATATGTCCAGAAGACGTAGATTACTCGTGGCTTACGGATGCATCACGCTGAAACAGTCTACCTTGAAGTACTCTTGAGACTTGTATTCGATGAACTGAAGTAAGCAACAAGGGCATACATTATGAAAAGAAACTTGGAAACACCCTACTGTAAGCAACATCCTTCAATTTGAAATATGCGTTGTCACTCATTGACGTGTTTATTCGCATAGTGACTGCGTAAACATTCGGCTTTCTTTAAACCGTGCGCTGATGGTTTAGGGAGATAATCTCCCACTGATGCCAAATCAGTCGGGGTTCGATTCCGGTTTGAATCGAATGCCGAGCTACACTGATGACTTGCGAAACAGCGAAACAGTTTGTCTGTGAATGACAAAAACACGAAAAACTTAACTTCAATCGTGCACACTTGAAGGATAAGTGCGAATTTATAAACAATGACTACTAGTACTAATATTACAAAGCTCTTCCTTGAAGTGAGCACTGTCAGTCATTGGCGTGTTTATTCACTGGGTAAGTACGTGAAAATTCGCCTTTCTTCCAACT